CCTGAGGTTAAAGGAGTAGTAGAGACCACTATATCTAAGGATATACACTTTTTTTTATTTAGGAAACATGCGTTTACAAAGAATGAAAAAAAGTACTGATAGCTATGTGTCTTTTACAAGCAACGAGAACAATTGCAATTTAGTGGAAAAAAAAGTTCAAGCTGATGCTTAGGGTAAAATAAAAATGCTGATAGCATTTCCCCTAGAAAGAGTTACATGTTTTAGAAAAGGAAAGTTAGCTATATTTGAAACAAATGTGGGATCATACAAATACATTGTAGAAAATCTAAATGTAACAAATGACGCAGAGGACTATTTATAAATGACTGTGATCCTATATCTCCATGATATGTTATTCAATATAGTGTTCATATCTGTGTCACTGTGGTAAAGTGTCACTTCATATCTGTGGAGGTGTTATTTTATTGTATCAGTTATTTTTTATATATTTTTCGTATGTGGGTGCTTGTTGTACCTTTTGTCTTATATTTTCATTTTTGTATAATACAAATTCTGTTTATCAAGTTGTTGTCTAACACCAGATGCTGTCTTACTATTCTGATTATATTATATTCATACAGTAAAACGGTAAACACATTGTTTTAGAAATCTGGATAACCAGAAGAAACAGTTTTACAGTGATACACTAAATGAGAACGAGCTACTTGGAGAATTTTTAATAATGTCATGAGGAACAACAAAAATCACACATGAGTACACAAATTATTTTGTCAAAGGCAGAAATATCAAATAAAATGAATATATCAAATGAATTTTGTAGATACTTTACTCGTGTAGGAGACTCGAAAGAAAAGAAAATTTCCAAAGCCTACATCTTACAGTGAAATACAAAGGTAGATCCTGTGAACAGTATTTTTCTTTCCAATATGTAAAAAAGACAAAGTATGAAAAATTGTGAATACATTTGTAAACAACCGACTCTGGCTCAGACATGATGCATCTGTAATTGTACCTTTTTACATACCTTTGCAACTTGTCACTAAAAACAGGAACCTTTTCCTGAAAAAAATGGAAACAACCAAATTATACCTCTTTACAGAAACAAACACAACTTCTCAAATTCTAGACCCTTGTCTTTGTTACCACAGTTTTCAAAAATCTTGAAAAAAGTATTTGCAATGTGAGTGGATAGCTTTTTACAAAAGTAAATGTGTTAATTCAAAATGAGTATGGCTTTAGGAAAAAACACTCTGCTGTGGGAATAATGGAACTGACAGAGAAAATATGCAAATACATATGTTGTAAGTATCTTACTAGACCTGCAAAAGGCTTGTTCATACATGGATCTCTAGTTATCTAGAAAATCTTAAACAGTTTGTGCATATAAATTGTAAAAAATAATAAATTACTCAATACCTATATTGTTTGTATGAATGACTTTCCAAAAGTATCAACTATTGTGCTGTCCTCACGATACGTGACCATGTGAAGCTGGAGCAAACGGGAAAGAAACTCTGTAGACAAGGTTTACTTTTCTTGTTTCATAGATAATCTCTTGCGTATGGTTCATTGCATCCCTAAATACAAAATATAAAATCACCGTAACTGCAACACTAGAAAAACTATCAACGGTTGTGCACACGGAATTGCGTACAGCGCTTGCTACTCAGATATAGCCCAAACTTAACACTTTGCAGTAGAATAAAACACTTTTATGGTGCCTAACAATGTGTTTGTGAGATTAAATAATACTTACAAAGATGATAGTTTGCCACGGGTCAACACATTAAACAAAGATTGTTACAAAGACAAACCAAACAAGAGCGCTTACTCTGCTCGACCAGGAAACTGATGTCTTACTTTGTTTCCCCTTATATTTTAGCACCACAAACAACTATAGCTTATTATCACACTGGGCTGAAGAAGGCGCTGCGGGGCCCAAACACGCTGGTCCCTTCTCTGTTAAAGGACTTTTATCAGAGTGCCTCGGTTTTCACCCTGTCTTCATTTCCCGTGGAAAAGGGAATCTTTGTTTTTTAAATGTAACTTATTACATAGCATTTAAGAACGTGTTGCATTTTTAAACTTATAAATGATTGAATTATGTCTTTAAACTTGTAAACATGACACCTATATTACAAATAATCTTATTTGCTGGTGCCACAGCATTATTTTGTTGTGGAAAAAAATGTTGGAGAGTTATCAAAAAGTAATAAACAAAGAACTTGTAATAATAAAAAATCTGGTTGGTTCAAATGACTTTGTTCTAAACAAAGAAAAAAAAAAAACAAATACATACTATTCAATGCTAAAAAGAAAAAAATCTTAAATAGTGTATCGATAAGACTAGACGGGGGAAATTCAAAAGGGTAAAAAGAAACAACATTTTTGGGAGTCATCATCGTTGAGGATCTGAGTTGTAAATCTCACAGACACTGTACATAAGGAAAATTAGCCAAATCACTTGGTGTTTTACACTTTCCAAACCACTCAGCATTACTGACCTTAGATAATACAATGATTATACCGACCTCACCTATGTTGTCAACATTTGGAGACAACGTTTAAAACACATACACTGCCTATAGTTATAGTTATAGTTATTCATCAAATCCTGTTTTTGAGTGCTTGGTGTTAAAATTGTATGTTATAGTAGATTATACTATTTATCATACATTGTATAAGGTAATTGGGACACATTAGCAGAAAACATCTACGAAAACACCGCTCAGCATTACTGACCTTAGATACTACAATGATTATACCGACCTCACCTATGTTGTCAACATTTGGAGACAACGTTTAACACAGCCTATAGTTAAAAAAGACCAGAAGGAAAATATATCGAGATTCATTAAATCCTGTTTTTGAGTGTTTGGTGTTAAAATTGTATGTTATATTGGATTATACTATTTATCCTACATTGTATAAGGTAAATTGCAAAACATTAGCAGCAAACCTCTAAGAGAACTTTGGAAAAAAGACAAAGTCGATACAATCTGTAAGTAACTGACATCTTTAATAAAAACTATATTCAGAACTAAAGTCATGGGAAGAATGGTCTCAGTGGAAGGAATCAACTTAACAAAGACATTAAAGAGTCAAAATAAAAATCATGGTTTTTAAGAAACAACAAAACTACTATACTCAATAAATATGAGAGTGTTACATAATAAGAAAATCTGAATTTTAATTAATGGTTTGTGTTTTGGTAAAATGTTGTACATAATGTTTAATTAATGGTTTGTGTTTTGGTAAAATGTTGTACATAATGTTTAAGGTATGTAATATGGGTGTTTAATCAGTCTTTAAGATGACTATTTATGGTAACAAGTATCAATTGTATATCTGAGAGATGTACGCCTTTAAATCATTTGATCTCCAGTAAAAAGAAAACCTGTACCAAGGACCCTAGTTTCACATCTACCTACTCTGTTTCAAACTGTGTACATATATGTATATAGGGTTCTTATTTTTATTGTATTGTACAATTAAATTGATATAGAGACTACTACCTTATGAATAGGGTTAGGATTATAACGCATTAATTACGATTGATAAACGCCACAAAATATATGTGTTTTTGCTCCACGGAACCTTTGTCATCAGGTGAGTTTCAGACGGATCGTTCATACTGGTGTACCAGTTAGAACCCTGCGCCCATCTCCGTGAAAAATAACAACTATCCTCCTATTGTTTTAGTACAACACTCAGGGCCACATGATAAGTCTATCACACACACCTAAGTGTCGCTCTTTCAGAGTTCGGTTGCAGTACCACTTGTTGTAGAAAAAAAAAAAACACCTATACAATACAATTTATTCTTGTATAGCCCTAAATCACAACTGGAGTCATCTCAGAGGACTTACCAAAAACTACTGAAAATCACCAACACAGATCGGAGAATCAACAGTTAAAACACATAAAGAATATAGACCACATGCCCGTACATGTTGTAGAATATTAAAGTATGCTGGATCATCACCACAGTCCTTCTAGTTTCTCACTAACTGTGCAACAAACCCATCCTGCATCAGCAATGCAAAACTCCTATGAAAAAAAGTTATTCTTATGTGTAATCAGAGGCCTATATAGGGCCACCTTAAACAGAGCAACCTATCACAAACCCTCCTCAGTCTGATAGGACGGTGTAAACAGACCTCCCACCCATTCTGATTTGTTGTTAGTACTCCCTCCCAACCGTTCATCATGATAACACTATCACACACACACACACACCTAAGTGTCGTTAACAGGTCCTCCCCTGCAGCTTAGCTATTAACACGTCTTCCTAACTGTTTGCTTTAGAATAAACATGTGCTATGATAAACCGTGATCAATAAATCACTTTAGACAACTGTGAAGCATTTACTTTATCACACACACACAGGGTCAACAGAAGCTAACTCATTACATATTCAAAAACTCTTTGAAAAAAACAGTGCAGTAACACTTTTTCACCACTTGCTCAAGAGCGCCGTCTCTTTTCTGGGGAGTTTTAGGGTGCAGTACCACCTTTTCACCACTTGCTCAATACACCCGTCTATACTATCTACTGTCCTGCACTTTCAAGCAGACATCAGCCTTATGAAGCTGGTGGAGGGAATGTGTCCTTTAGGTTCAGATTGTGTCATAGATCATGAAGGACACAGTTGTGTCATACAGAAGAAGTCTGCACTTAAGTTTAAGTTTTCAGATGGATTATAAGCAATTGAAGCAGAGATTATGTGGGTTCATCCACTGTAATAATATCAACGTTCAATGTGCATGTAGGGGATTCTCATCTGGCCACCCTGGCCTTACTTCTCATTAATATTTACAACTAATTAAGTAAGAACCATCTTTAAGAGTTCATGTTAAAATAATGATGCATGCATAAGATATGTCAAATCTATACACTCGGGATTCAACATAATTAAAAAGTGGAAACTTGAAGTGGAGGAAGTGTACTCTGATGTGCAGGGGTGGCAGAGGTCTGTTATTTAGGGACCCCCAGTCATTGTATCACTCACTGTTTGTGCTCTAATCTTTCTCTTAAGGTCGTGGCCCCTTTGAGAGACAAGATACGTGATCTGGAACAGAGGTTAGCATTATTTTTGTTTGTTCATTAATTCTCCACATTCATGTTTCTCAAGATTTGTTCCATTTTCAGTTTTTCTCAAAAATATCCTCCTGTGAAGTTCTTGTCAGAAAAAGATCGAAAACGGATTTTGGTATGTAGTTAATTTATGCATTATTTTAAATTCTTGTTACATGGTTAATATGCAAGCATAAACATCCAGTCCATGTCCATTAATCCTTAGAGCAATACTTGTTATATCGCACATGATGATCACTCCCTGTGCATGTGTGTGCGTTTTATTACTTTATATATTGACTTTATTGTGGTGTTTCGTTTTGAATATTTTGGATAATATAGTTCACTTTACATATTCATATGCATAGTCATTTGTGTCTGTGCAGAGCGTTTGTGTTGTCTGCATGTTTGTAGAAGATGACTTAAAAAGGCCACAGAGCTGATAACAGAGCGGGGCGAGTGCGGGGCTTGAGGCAGACCATGACTGCATATTTAGCTTGACTCTGATAAACCAATAATCTGCGGCCTTTAGTAGTGAAAAGACATTGTTTTGTGGGTCACAACTACATTAAGGCAACAACTATTTTGATAATCAATTTAATTAAGAGTTTGTGAATAGAGCTGTAAACTATTAGTAGTTGATGATTGAACAATAAAAATGGACATTGTATTTTGTGGTGTTTGTGATCTGTACAATAATGTTAACGTCAGCCTAACTTGAGCATTCACTGGTCTACAATCCTTTTTCTAGATCACTGGTGGTGCTGGGTTTGTTGGGTCACATCTGACAGATAAACTAATGATGGATGGACATGAGCTGACTGTTGTGGACAACTTCTTCACTGGCAGAAAACGCAACGTGGAGCATTGGATCGGCCACGAAAACTTTGAACTGATAAATCATGATGTGGTGGAGCCTCTTTATATCGAGGGTAAGGATAACTAGACTTTGGTTTCATCTTAAAGAAATACATTAGAGCATTTTCTGATTTGATTTTGATGTTATAAATTCACCTCAATATGAACTCTTAGGTGTCATCAGAGGCTGCATGGTAATTTTCATTGTCAGTGAAAGTGGATATGTATGTTTTAGGAGTGTGTGTTGTGACCAGTTCAGAACCAAAAACTCGTTCTTGAAGGATTGCAAACTATTTTATTCTAGATTTATTCGTGATCAAATAAGAACCGGTTCCCAAAGCATGTATTTTAAGTATTGATAAACAGACAAAAGGAAATAATTGGGTTGAGTACAATATTTGACTTTGCGCGTTTTGTTTTTTTATTGGTAAAATTACTTTTCAGACTTAACCAATAATAATTATAATAATAATTAAAGCCGCAAGCGGCGATGAAAGGCCTCGCCCCTCTTGCGACCGCCTCCTGGGCGCCAGTCCCACAAGCGTCACGCAGACGAATTGGCAGCCCGATCTGACCAGGATTACATATATAAAAGCTCATTTATATGATAAAGTGCGTCCCTAGTGGCCACCTCCGGGACATGCACCCTCTACGTAGAGTAGTATTTTGCTCGTACAGATGTAAAGATTTGATTTTGCAACTTTGGTGAAGATCGGAAAAGTTTAGGTCAGAAGCCTTACATAGGTGGCGCTGTAGAGTCATATTAGGTGTGTGTTTTCACACCATTACTCTCAGGCCATTACCAACTGTTAGTGATGTGAGTTTCAGCTCTGTAGGTCTGAGCCTGTGGTCAGGAGAGCATCAAACATGGAGAAATTCCCCACTACCTTGCATGAAAACGATAACAAAATTCTAACTTTTATGCGATGATTACATAACTTCAATCCGTCCAGATATAGAAATGACATGGTAGAAGTCTGTGCGATGAAAATCCAGGGACTAGTACGAAGCCAAAAATGCAACACATTGAACTGCCTGTAGGTGGCGCTGTTGCACTCACAGTTGTGTGTTGCATATCGTTGTGTTCAGGGTCATACGTTGTATTTCTGAATTCATTTTTAGCCTCATCGGACAAACATTTTGCCCTAAAAAGCTCATTTATTCACTTTCCAGCGCCCCCAGTGGTCAGGTGTAGGACTTACAACTTTTGCGTAATGTAATGTTTTGCTCGTGTCGGTCCAGAGAATACACTCAGCGATTTTCGGGCCGATCCGAGCACTAGTGCCCTATTACTTTCCGACAGGTGGCGCTAAAGAGCTCAAATTGGGCGAATGATTTTAGTGTCATTGCGTTCAGGCCATAACCTAATATTACTGATGTGAGTCTCAGCTCTGTAGGTCTGAGCCTGTGGCCCTCAGGGCTCAGCGAAAATGGCCAAAACGAAGGCCTTATTCGCCATGGCGAGGGACGAAAACGGTGAAGATTTTCTAACTTTTTTTCGATGATTATATAACTTCAATCCGTCCAGAGCGGGAAATGACGTGGTAGAACTCTGTGTGATGAAAAACCAGGGACTAGTTCGAATTTATAAATGAAAAGTCAAATTAGTGGCGAAACTTCGGCCCCTCATGGCCGACTTCCTGTCGGTCCCAGACATGTGCTTAGAACGGCTTTTATGCTCGTCTCATAGAGATCTATCACTCATCCGAATTTCGTGTACCTACTCCAATATTTGAAAAAAAATCCCCAGAGGGTCAAAAAAAATGAAATTTCTAGGGGGCGTTATAGAGTCGGCGAGCGTCGGACAATCTGGAAACGTTCATTTTATCAAATTTTTCGCCGGACCGGTCGTTTTAGACCCCCCATGTGCAGACTTTCGTGCATGTCTTCAGGGTCAAAAATCGAATTGAAGATGCGGAAAAAAAAGAATAATATGAAACCGGTGAATAACAATAGGCCTCCCCAATACTTCGTATTGGCTCGGCCTAATAATTATTCCATCCATCCGTCCATTTTCTACCCCTTAATCCATTTCTGGGTCGGGGGGGTGGCAGTCAGAGATGCCACCCAAGTCTCATAGCACCAGCCCCTCACTGATCCTCTGCAGGTGGTGAGTCCATAGTGATGAATATTTCCAAATTCAATCATCGGTCAAGAATACTGTATAGTTCTCCTAGAGCTTTACTCGCCTTAAGTATCTTTTCAATCAATTTTATTTTAATTTCCTAGGGTAATGTTCACTGGATATTCTCACAATGTTGGCAGGGCTAAGCAGAGCTGTTGTTTTGGGAGATGAGACTCTCAAAACTTTAGTACAAACACACAAATCTTAACCATTGACACACAAATCAAGGCTTGGCTGTTGGGAGACGTTTTTCTCTCTGTAATCAGCTGTGTGTGTAGGATCTTAGATTTACATTACCTTTTTTCTCTTGTGGTCACACAAATTGTCGCAAATGCAAATCAATGCATCCACACATTTAAACGATACAGATGCTTCTTATTACACACAGATCAAAGTGCAGACACACAAATATCTACTGACTGCATACAATTCTACCAAATACGAACAAGATGTATGTACACTTCTGTAGTAATAATAATTATAATCATAATGATGATGAGGATATTTATTAATTATCTTCCCCTTTATTAGTCTATTTCTGGGTCAGGGGGGTGACAATTAGAGCTGCCACCCAATGCTCATAGCACCAGTCCCTCGCTGATCCTCCTGCTGGTGGTGGGTCCACGAGAAGATGGCTGCTCCGTCAGCGATGACACAGACTTGATTTTTCAGCAGGGGCTCGGGAAAAAAATTGGCCAAAAGGCCAATGCTCTACCAACTGAGCTACTGTCTTGGTTTTATACATGTCATTTTCCGCAGCTGCCCCACTGTGGCACCTGGTGTTCCCAGAGGTCTCCCATCACAAGTAGTGCAAAAATACAGCATTGAGCAAATAGAAATTATTTTGGTAAAAACTGACAATGAAAATGTGATTTATTATGAATCATCTGTAAAATGTATTGTTTTAAAGCACAGAGGGATTCCAGTCTGAAATGTTGTTTCTGCTCTGTGCCTGTAAAAACACACTACATTATAATTCATGCTCTTGAGCTGTCATGTTGATGGATTTCTTATGCATCCGTTCAGTGTCAGCCAGACATGTGGGGTTTACGTTAAGTACTGATTGTTTGTTTTGCCAAAGCGACAACTACTAATGGTGACCATCAACATTAACGTCATGTATTGATTCAAAGAGGGGCTTCAGGGGTCTAAAAATAACAATTGGAATAAAACCAAATGTGTCATGTATGTTGAGATATTACACTGTTTGAACAACACGTTTCTGAATCTGTTTTGGTTAATTCTAACGTCCAATGAGACTCACCATGTTCTACTTTGTCCTCTCCCTTCTCTTATACACTGAGCCGAGAAATACAGGAAATTGACTTTACGTTGAATGGCAGCATGTCAGGGAAAGTCTTGGGCAATTTGACATTGTGATTTGGTTCAAAAGGTGAAGCGAGAAAGGAAGGAAAATGGCTTGTATAAAATAAGCATTTCTTTCAGCGTTTCTTTTGGCGGTAAAGTAGAGAAGATTTGGTACCAGACAATGTTCTTAGCTTTATAGTCACCTTTTATAAAGAAGTAAGTTATTTATTTACTTATTTTTTAACATATTTTTTTCTCTGACAGTGGACCAAATCTATCACTTGGCCTCTCCAGCATCACCTCCTAACTACATGTACAATCCCATTAAAACACTCAAGACAAACACTATTGGCACTCTGAACATGCTGGGTAAGTTATTTTCAGTCATATTCTATAATTAACAAGGAGAAAAAAGGATGTTATAGATTTGGTAAATGGAAATGCACTTCTGATTGCCACAGGTTTGGCCAAACGTGTTGGTGCAAGACTTCTCCTTGCTTCAACGTCTGAGGTGTACGGTGGTAAGTTCGTTCATTTGTGCCTCATTATTCTGTGGGCTGGCCACTTGGATATTATTCTAGACAATAAATAAGACAGGAACACACCAACTATAGAAGGTACTACAATCTACTTCTAAAATCAATAACAAAAATAGATCAGTAGAAAATCATGTTTAAAAAAGGGAAATGTTCATTGAAAGTTACCAGGTTTCTGGGTTCAGGAGTTCCTGGTGCCTAAAGGGTCCATGAGGAATAGGCGGTTCTTGCAGAAGGAAATCTGCTGTGGCGAGTTTATTGATTACACTTTTCTTGCCTGTATGTTAAGGTCTTCATTTGCCTGCAGGGCGCTCAGCCAATCAATCTGCATCCGATCATCATGGCTCTCATGATGAGCTGCCTTCAGCTGAAGCTGCTTAAATATGCGCCCATGTTTGAGAAAGAAAATCTTGCTTTGCTTTTCAGACCCAGAGGTTCATCCACAGAATGAAGAGTACTGGGGTCATGTGAACCCTATAGGCCCTCGGGCTTGCTATGACGAGGGCAAGCGTGTTGCAGAGACTATGTGCTACGCATACATGAAGCAGGTAACCACTATATGTGTTTAAATGCATGTGCCAAGTGTGTGCTTCCATGTACATGTCCACATACATGTGCATTTAAACAGACTCAACTTACCTTGCTTTTCTACAGGCGTTCTAGACAATTATGTAATGCTTTACAAACATCATGTTGTGTTGTGTGATGATTGATGCAGCCTTTGATGAACAGATAGCTCTGGCTTCCTTGTAGGACAGGTGATATTTATTTATCTGCTGTGTCGTCCGCTTCACCATCGCTGCTCATTATCTTATTCAAGAATTCTCTGAAATGGCTGTGTTTGGCTGTCAGTCAGAGGTGCCAAAAGACACAAAATATCTTGCGTAACATCGACTGCTGCTGGATAAACATTTATAAATCAGTGGAATTGACAAACTTTACCAAAATTTAGAATCTTGAAAACGTGAACTTGTAGCACCTTTTGACACAGTGGTGTCTCCAGCACTCCTAGATCATTTACTTTGTAGGTTTTCTGGTGAGGAGGTCTGTCAGCAGAGAAAACCCTCCAAACAATATATCCAACAGACTCTTTTCTGATCAAAATGTCTAAAACATGATACATGTTCACATTGTGGTTCTCAAGCTGATTCAGAAAGCAGAATTATCTTCACATTATTCCCTCACTTGGGTTGTCAATTGAGTTTAGTCTCTACCTGAACTTGCACAGATGGACTGCAGCAGTAATCAAAGCAGGAGGGGCATCTACATGTGTGTGCTTTGTATGCGGTGTAGACATTGGCAACAAAGGCAGGGCTGTACTGGCCATCGGGCAATGCCCGAAGGGCCGATGCCCATATTTGGATCAATCTGTCTGCCTTATACGAAAAACATGCTTGTGAAAATTGTAAATCCGTTGAGAAATTTTCAAGGGGTGCCCGTGTCCGTGGGGCACCTGCTGTATGTACTCGAACGGGATTCTGCCACCTCAGCGGCCACAGTGTTCCCGGGCAGCTGCGGCCGCTTTGTAATGAGCGGTTCCTGCGTCCAGCGGCTGTGAGCGGTGATGAGCTTCCAGCCGCTCACAGCCGCTCCACCGTGTAACCAAGACCATAAACACGCACAAGACCATTATCTGCTTCTTGTGTGAGTGTCTTTGTGTAATATGTGCACGGAATAAATACACCGCTGCAGGATGCAGTCCGTGTCTCCCCTCTCCTCTCGAAGTGCGACTAAACTCCCTAAATTAAAGCTCGGGTGCCTAAAGTTTCCATTGGATTAAAAGTTCATATTGGTTTGGCCCAAAAGTAAAATGTTTTGAACATATCAAACAGATTTAGTGACAGCATTTCAGACTTTTTTGACCAATTCTCATCCCTGTAACAAACAATAGTGTTGTCTGTGTCCACCTCCCTCACTCTGAGACATGTTTATTACTCTCTTGTAATGTAGACTATTGCACTTTATTTTATTGTTGAACAGGCCCGTTGCAAGGGGGGTGCGAGGCTCTGTGCAAACTTGAAAAGCGAGGCCCTGACACTTTTTTTCCCAGATCTGAGGAAAGTTTTCCCTGTTATAATCTTTGACATGAATTCAGTATCGCCTTGCGCAGTGCGTGAAGAGATCAGCACGCGCGCAGCTGCGTGTCCTCGCTCCAATGCAGCGTTGGGCGCAGGCACATGCACACACACACTGTTACGGCGCTTGGCATTGCCATATTGGTCGCGGTCTTTTTAGCTGACATGGCTCTTTTGTCCTGTGGCAAAATGGCATATCAACTCAAAAGACTGAATCAAAAAGAGTCTTCTTCTTTTTCTAATAGTCACCTTTTTATTTAATAAAAAAAAAATGCACCAAAATGGCTATGACGCTCCTCCACCTCCTCCACACACTCACAACAAGGCGTTTTATCCCCAAAATCTACTGCACTCGCAGTGGGCGCTAAAGCTGGGCATACAGTGTTTGCTTATGCTTTTATAATAGGTTTTTGATGTGGATATTCGAACTAAATATTGGCAATAACAGCGCTCACACACCTGTCTCGCTGCTCCTCCTCCTCTGCTCACACACCTCTCTCCTCCTCTTCACACAGAAGACACGAGTATCCATCTCTCCGTTCACTGTGCTCATTCCCGTTTTTTCGTACCTCACTCAGACACTGCTAAAGTTATCTGACAGCTCAGTAAAGCTTTTTTTCCGGAGGACCCCGCTATGTACATAGCCGCCCTCGCGCCTGCCTGTTTACAAATCGCTTTTGGTGAAAAATTTTGCTTTACTTGTAATAATAGACTTTTGAAAAAAAAAAATCACAGAGGTCCAGAGAAAGGGGTCTTGGTGTCCGAACTTGGATTGCAGTCCGTCCTTTGGGGACCCAAAGGAAGGAAGATTGCGAGGCCCTGTGCGAAGGCACAGGTCACACAGCCCCTCCGACGGGCCTGTGGTTGAAACTGCAGACATCCTGATCCTCTACAGTATACAGTATACTGTTTATACAGTGTACTGTATAAACAAACCGTAAAAAAACTTGAAAAAAAAAACACGCTTGGGCCGTCAAGTAGGCAAAAATACCCGGGCCGTTTTTTGGTCCCAGTCCAGCCCTGAACAAAGGGGTTTAGATTGTGACTTTAATGGGAGAAGATGGTTCCTAAGGCAAGTTGGAGTTACCCCACAAATGAAGGCAGCTGAATATAAATCCAGATATGAGCCATAAGAATTGACCAAAGACAATAGACTGATAATGAGTGTGAGTATGACACAAATGCTTACTGAGCTTGAGAAGTTTACTTTTCAATCTAAGTCAATAGGAACCAGAGTGAGCTGGAGCAAAACCTCCCCCTTTCTTGTCCATCTATATACAGCCCATGATCATTGCTCATCCTCTGTTTATGAATTACAATGTCTGAGAGTCTCAATTTGTCACTCATTTTCAGCCAATACTCTTGTAAAGGAGTAGGTCAATGACTGTTCAATGTGCACTCTGTCACTTTTTTGAATGATGGGGAGGCATTTCTGAGCTACGTCAAATCAAGAGTTTACAAAGTCCGGTTCCCCCTTCCATGAAAAATACAATCGAATGGGTCTCCAATCCAGTAGCAGCAGATAGTTCAGACCATTTTCTCTGCTCCAGCGAGTAAACTGCTCAATGCTTTATTAGCATTTTTTATTTTTTTTTAAGCATTCCTGCCGTGGATTTACTTTCTATCTCCTTGGTTCGGTCCATGAATCCTCTCTGCTCTGGTTTGGATCATGTAAAACCATGAACACTGTACTGCAGTAACATTTACAGATAGAAAAAAATCAAGGAAAATATAGATTGTAAAACACAACTGTTTCAGAGCTACTTAGGTCTTGCCTCTGTTTCCAGTGCATGCATAATGTCTCCTTGAATGTGTGTGTTTTCCCCCTGCCTTTCCAATAGTAAAACACAAAGTTACATGCATCAAGATTTTTGATCCTATTCCGTAACATTGATTGAAGCTGCTTCACTGTGTATGAGGACCCACATGCATTTATTATATAAAGTCACCTTTTTCTATTACTTCACTTATATATATATATACAATCGCCACAACAGCACTAAAATAGTGAACTGTAGCCATGCCTTCACGCTCTCGTCTTTGCACACACCACTCGACATCTCGTTGTCCCCAGTTTGTCCTCGTCCCACAAAACACATTGAATATTCCCGTAGACTGTCCATTGCATTTTAAAATGTGCATTTCCGTGAGTGTGATCTCCATATTATTCATGTTTTTATTCATGTTCAAGGGCCTCTGCTTGTCACTGATACAAGGCCTAATTCAAAAGGCATGGGGAAGTATCTGTAGTGCTCTCAGTTAATCGCTCTCTGCTGTAGTAGTCTGACAAGGCAAGGCCCCCATTAGCAAGTGGCTACATCGATCCACTCCACTTTTCCTTTGTATAGTCTTTGATGCTGGGCTAAGGGTCATGAAGGAATATAGAATCTCAGTTTATATTTGAACTTGGCCTAGTCAGATAATCAAAGATGGTTTTAGAATATTTAGTTGTCATGGCTGAAAAGTCCACTAGCATTCTTCAGCACTCCTGGTGGTGTCCCGCTTTTTGCTTTAGTTAGTTCATCTTGCCCTGGAGATTTATACAGTTCTTCATTATTATTAAGTATGTGACTACTCTTGGGCAATCAAGCCCTGTTTCCACCAGCCCTACTTGGCCCTACTGTACTATACCTGCTTGTCTTTCCATTATGCTTTAGTACAGACATGAGCTAAATATGGCCCGGGGGTTGGGTCCGGCCCGCCAAGCAATTTAATCTGGCCCGTAGCTCATTTTTCATAATAGTGTTCTTTTTCTGGCATTTTTTGTGCTGCTTTGACGCACCTGTGGCTCTAAGCTAGGGGGATATCATTGTCCATCTTTATACAGATAAGATAAGATAAACCTTTATTCGTCTCACAGTGGAGAAATTTCAGTGTCATCGTTGCGCACATTACAGCAGAGAAAGAAGGAAATGAGAGCACTCAGATTGGCATTGGCCCTATGATAAAGCTGTTTGTTTATTAACCCATTGAGGATGACTCATCAATGGGTCATTCTCTATAACTTCAGGTTATTGAGGATGACTCTAAAGTCGGCCATAGGTTTTACAGTATGTTTTATCAGGTATGTCAGGCCTTAATGGGTTTAATCTGCGTGTTAGTCTCGCAACACCTCAGCCATCGGTCCATATTCCTTAGATGTTGCTCTTAACACAAAACAACAACTGTGCGCAGTGCTATTTAGGACTTACTACCGTTTCCAGGGCATAAAAAAGTATGTAATGTTAAAAGAATATATGATGTATAACGTCCTTCCCAACAGGACTCGCCTCCGATTATCACACAAACAGTTCTGACCCTGTCTCAGTAATACGATTTAAAAGTGACCGTATTCACATAGTGGTCTAATAAAGTCATCACAATTACAATCTAACTTTTGTTGCCAGCACTGCTTACTGATGAATCCACCTGCTGGGGTTTAGCTGGAAACAGTACAAACTCTGTGTACTACCCATGACTATTTTTGTATCAAC